TGAGGCTGTGGTATGGATAAGGAAAGTGAAATGTGGGCATTATCATGAAGGGTGTGGAGGGCAATGCTGATAGTTTCAGCTGGCTGTGTGAGAAGATTTACTCTTGACCTTAAAAACCTTGATGTCATGGATGAAGGAACAAAGCAGAATCACAAGCTTCTACCTGCATGGTTATATAGAAACCAAAAACATATGCTGACTTCTGTGAGATATTTTTGTGAGATGAGTTATGGAAAGCTGTTCCAAAAGTCAGTGAATCATAAATTAAAGCTGTAGTGGATAGAAAACTAATTTTTGTCATCATGCCTTCTAGGCAGGTTCCATGGTGAGCTGATCCCATGCAGCTGCTCGTAGATATGTGGGAAGTCACCACTGCTGAAATTGGCCACACCAAAAGGCAGCTGAGGAGCTGTTTGTGCTTGTGCCTGGGCAGGATGATCCACATGCAGCCAAAAGCCAGGAGCAGTGAGGACACCACAGTTCAGTGTTTTGTTTTTTTTCTGTTGTGCCAATGCTTCTTTGAACAACACTGTGCAGTGCTCTGGGATTGAGCTGGGAGGGTCTGCTGAGGTCAGCACATGACTGCATGCACTTCTGAACAACATCCTGGAGAATTAGTTCTGGGGAAGAGTGGGCATTTGTAGGTATTGGGTGCCAAAAAAAAGATTAAAAAGCAAAAATGCAGTGTGTGGATTGTGCTGGAAGTACTTAAGAGTGGAAGGGTGTAGACAGTTTATAAGATCTTGTCTCAAACTCTGGAACAGTTCTAATGGGGTATAGCTTATTATCTCTTTGGTTCAGTAAGTGTATTGTGACTTTAGTAATTTCAATTAAAAACTTCTAAGAAGCTCTTAGGTCTGAAGTTGGGTAAATTCCCTTCAATTCAGTGCAAGTGCTCCAAATGTATGTCAGTGAGTGAGAATCTGTTTTATCTAGGAGATTATTGCTTGCAGTGATCCTTGACCAGCAACCCATGTAAAACTCCATTTTTTCCATAGATACAAGAACATGTATCAAGCACAGCCTAAAGTTTCTGGCCTGAGAGAACAGATCAATCTATATGGTCAGTTTGATCCCTCACCCCTTAATGAAATGCCAGGTTTGAGGGCTTTATTAATTGGGCATTGTTCTGTAAGGAAATAGGCCGGGGCTAATAGGTCACTGCATAAAAGGCAGTACAGAGAAATGTCTCGTGACACTGCCAGCCAGGGCCCCAGCTCCATCATCAATAGGCAGTCAGATTTTAGGTGTTATCTCATTTTTCAAGGAAAATAGGCTACTGATGTCTTTCAGCTTTTTATTATGTGAGCCACTGCATTTTACCACCATCTCAGAAAAAGACATCAAAGGATTTTTCAGATTCTTTCTAGTAAGAAAAATAGGTGACTGCTGGAAATTGTGGGTTTTGACCGTTGGTTAAATATAGCTTGTAAAAGAATCATCCCATTTTTTTTCTGGGTGTCACAAGTCACTTGGTAATTAATGTTTGTTTTCAATTGAACTGTTTTAAGTCAAACTGTGATTAATTCTGGCATAATATTTTTTTTTAAATAGAAAATTGCAGTAAAACACTTATGTCATAAATGGCAAAAAAGGATGAGTGATGCCAGAGAGCAATTCACCATACACAAAGAGAACAATTTGTTCTTGTTCTGCATGTTGGTAGACTTTTGGCCACGAGCATAGAAATATTATAAAAGCAAAGTTGTAAGTCTGTATAGTGATAAATAAGCATGCAATAACAGATCATCAAATGAATATTCAAAATATCAGTGAAATGTTTTCTCACCAGCATCTGTAGTTTGCAAGTAACTGTGTACTCCTGATTTAGGGTGTTTGGATAAGAACCCTCTGTTCTCACACCTGGGTCAATCATGTGTCAGATCCTCATGCTCAAGCCCATATTTTATTTGTTTAAATCTACAGATGTAGCAATTTATTAACTATAAGTCAAGACTTCCACTACTGCAGTAATAGCAGAATTGAGGACACTAAGTTCAGTTTGTTTATAATCAATGGTTCAGGTTAACTAATCAGGAAGAAAATACTGGAAATTATTTTTCTAGTCTGTTTATATTTAGAGGGAGGAGAATTCTGAAGTTCTGTGTGTCCAATGCTTCCTGAAGTCTTAGAGTAGAACAACACTGAGTGAGTACAAAAAAAAGAAACTTGTATGTGGTGTTCAGTAAGAATAATTGCTTTCAAGGTTTTTTTAAAAATATGTTTCATTTAACTGCTGAGATTCTGTTAACAGAGTCTGAACTCACATTTGGCCATCAGAGAAGAAGGAGAATATAGGTTAAGAACAACAGTAATTTCTACAGAAGGAAAAGGTAAAATTTGGACTGTAGTACTCACAGTTCTGCACTGAAATTTAAAGTAAAACCAGTACATAAAAGTAAAACCAACATAGGAATGATTTTGGTAAGCAGGTACACAGGTGGTACGAGGAGTTGTGACTAACACTGCTTTCCCTTCAAAGCAGAAATGATCCTAAGCTGGTGCTCCTGGCAGCCTTTCAGTATCAGGGTTGTAAGAGCACTTGAGCTTCAAGAGCCCATTTCTCCAGGTTGAGTTTCTCAGTGTTTCCAGGGAAATTCCCCCTCACAAAAACACATCTTGCTGTCTGAGTAACCACCGGCATCTCAGACTCAAGTCCTGTTCATTGAAGGAACAAGTTCAGCCCTAGCAGGGAAAGAACAGGTTCTCAGCACCCTCAGGTTTGACCACAATAAATATCCAGGGCCAGCTCTTCCCTGCAGTGCTGGGCAGGTGTGGAATTGGCACAAATTTGGTGCCATTGGGCTGTGTCAGCTGCTGCTGGGCTGCCCCTGCATCAGAGGCTCAGGGGACAGTGGCAGCACATGGGGACCATGAAGGGGACCATGTCCCAGAAGAGAGGACTTCCCTGCACACACCTTTAGTGTCTTTTTGCAATGAGTTGCAGCTAACTCCTTTAGCTGCTGGAGTTAATTGTGTTTGTTAATGATTTTTTTCAGCTTTCAAAACAAAAATCCTGTATTCATCTTTATGCCTTGCTGTTGCTATGTAGGCAGTCCTTAGCACATGTTTGTGCATGCAGGGATTTAATTAAAACCTTAATAACTAAATAATCACCACACAGTCTGGGTGTCTGTGAGATAGCACTGTGGGGACATTTCTTGAGTTCCTCAATTGCACACCACATTGCTATGTGGTATTTTTGATGCTGGCTAATCGTACTCCAGCATTGCTGGTGAGCTGTACATAGATTAGGAGGCAGCTGGAGCAGCGAGCCCAAGAGCAGTGCTTTGCTCAGGCACTGTTTGAGGCATTTCCTTTGATCGTGCCACACGTCCTAGAGACCAAGACTAAAGTATTCACATTATGGTGCCTGAAGTGAGTTGCCTGAACAGAAGTGCCCTGATTACTTTTCCAGAGATACTGAACAGAGAAAACTTGTTTTTAAAGTTTTCACGCTTTGCAGTGTCTCTCACTGGGTGGCAGTCAGTGTTTTGGGCATTGATTTGGTCGGGTGTTCAGCAGAGAGGAGGCCTCTCCCCAGGTGTCTTCTACACTTAGCTGCAGGAAAAATTCCCACTGGACTAAATTCCCAGTGGACTTCTGCTTTTGTGTGGAAATGTCCCATATCTATCACTTCCACCCCATGTCAGCAGCACATGCTGGTCCTCTCATGGCTCAGGAAGGTGTCCCTGGGGGCACCTGGGCTCTGTGCCCAGCCTGGCCTTGTCTGTGTGGGCTGGCTCCGGAGTGCCAGGCACCCTGTGCAGGGCTGCTCTGGGAACGGGGCTGCTCTGGGAACGGGGCTGCTCTGGGAACGGGGCTGTTCCAGGGAATGGGGCTGTTCCAGGGAATGGGGCTGTTCCAGGGAACGGGGCTGTTCCGGGGAAGGGGGCTGTTCCAGGGAACGGGGCTGCTCTGGGAACGGGGCTGCTCTGGGAACGGGGCTGCTCTGGGAACGGGGCTGATCCAGGGAACGGGGCTGTTCCAGGGAACGGGGCTGTTCCAGGGAACGGGGCTGATCAGGGAATGGGGCTGTTCCAGGGAATGGGGCTGTTCCAGGGAACGGGGCTGTTCCAGGGAACGGGGCTGTTCAAGGGAACGGGGCTGTTCAAGGGAATGGGGCTGCTCTGCCTCCATTGACAGCACAGCAGTGACCATTCCAGAAGTGGCACAGCCAGAGCCTCATGCCTGTGTGTCCTCTCTTGGCTGAGCGTGGCCAAGAGACCTCGGCCCCTTGGCTCAGCCCTCCCGTGCCAGGGAGAGGGGCCACACCACGGTGCACACACAAATACCTTCTGGTATCTTTTCAGAATAGAGCTGAGCGAGTATCTTGGTGTGAGCAGGGCCAGCCTTGGTGGCTGCAGCATGGAGGTGGCTGCCACTCACTGCTGTGAGCAATTGCCTCAGTGTGTCCTGCCCCAGGAGTTAGCTCATCGCTCTCCTTGGGACAGGCTGACGGGAACAGATGTGTTCCACACCCGACCTCTGTTTTTCTATAGCTCCTGAGCACATTTTGAATTTAAAATTCTGCTCTTTCCTATAAAAGGTAAAGAAGATGTCAAGGTCTTGCTGTTCCCATTCCAAATGAAATGGGTTCATGTCCTGTTAATCAAGAAGTACAGACGCAGCATTTGTCATTTCCCTTTAAAGTAATGGGTGGTTGATACCTGTCATTTCTCAAGAAACTATATACCAGATTATGGTGTATTTATAGAAATCTCAATTGCTAGTAACTTGGCTGAAGCCAAGTTTAGGCATACCATTAGTAACACATAATGAAATGACCTAAGTGGAGTCAGATTTGGGAGGGGGAGGAAAAAGCTATTTGAGTTGGATAGCTTGAGGATGCTGTTTTACTATTAAAATTAAGCTTCTGACCCCTGGCACTGAAGTGATAAAAATGAATCTTCTTATATTGCTCTTCTGCATTTAATCTTCTATACTGGAAAAGATAAAAAATCAAATCTCCTTCTCTCCCTTGTCTCTTTCTTTTCTAGGTACAGGACCTATTTATGCTACAGACCCACTCCTATACATGTCCCTGTTAATACTGCATAAGCTTGTACATTTATTAGTAAACCACTGACGGACTGCTCCCTCCACTCCTCCTCAGCCAAACAGAAAGGAACCTATTTAATAACAAACAAAACCCCTGACAAAGAAATCCCTACCGTTTTAAAGATGGACAGAAAGAGACTGAAAGAAGCATGATAAATTCTACTTGGGGGGAAAAACATATTTTTGGGGATGCCACAGAAGAGTAAACAACATAGAATAATGCATCTAATTTCCAGACTCTATGGTGTAAAGCCCTGCTCTGTGCATGGCACTTATGATTCCTCTATTTTAATGTAATATTTTTTCTTTTCTAAACCTTTCCTCTGACTCTTCATTTTGCACGAACTGTTGAGCAGTTATCTTTATGACAATATGTAAAGATGTTGGGTCAAACCCTTCCTAAGAAAGGAAATATTTTTAGTAGATTATTGTGTTTAGTTTTTTTTGGATTTCCTTTTTCTTTTTTAATTAAATTATTTCTTTTGGAGACATTAAAAAGGTACATCTTACCATAATTAATATTCACTGTCAATAATATTTATTTTTAAATGAAGATTGGAAACAAGGTAAGACATTTGTTTATAAACTGTATTGTATATTGCTGAATAACAGTTGAATAAAAAGATTTTGAAATAAAGTTTTTACAGATGTGTGTGCCTTTCCCTGTGTCCTGCATGTCCCTGAGAAGCCTTGATGGCTGCGTGCCTTCCCTCCCTTGTCACAGTGCAGAGACTTGAGGAATGATACAGCACAAACAAAATAAAATTGAAATCAGTTATTTTTCAGACACCCTCACCTGATGCCAAAGCCCACAGCAGAAGGTGCAGGCAGCCAGTCCCAGGCTGCAGCTGCCTTTTCCTTGGTGCCACCAGTTACCTCTGGGCACTCAGGGCAAGATCTGGTAGATGGACAGTGTGATAGTGTGTGGCATTCAATGTAAAGTGCTTTGCTTTTCCCCAGGCCTCTCTGAAAAAACGGTGAATCAAGCAGTGGAAAATCAAAATAAATCATCCTGGGATGTTGTTGTGTTCCCTAGTTCCAAGATTTGGATTTTTAAAAACACATAATTGTGTCACTTTTCTTATCCAGGTGAGCTTTCTCTAAAGAAGCTTTTTTACAGTAAATAGTTATTTTTTCTGTTGCAAAATGCTTGTTTTTCAAGTGAGCCAATAAGATGATTTGGTAAAGAAACATGACCTTCACTAGCTGAATTAGTGAAATACCTTGAAATTTCCTATGCCCAACCATGACTCTTTTGCTGTCATTTGTGTGGCATTTCAGAGGAGCTTCCTTGTGGGAGAGGCAGAGTGACAGCTCCGGTGGCAGCAGGACTGTGCCTGCAGGAGCTCAGAGCAAACACAGGACACTGCCTCACCTCGTGCCCGAGTCCTGTTCTAGAAGGAGGACAGGAAGGGATTGGCATTTTCCCTTTTCATTTTCCATTTTCATGCTCAGGATTTCCTTTTCCTAGGGCTGCTAGTGACAGCCAGGGATTTGTGGCACTTGGACTCACTGGGTTTGAGACCATGCAGGTTTGATATGTGTACTACACTGTGTAGTAAAAGCCTCTTGCACTGGGGCAGACTCACCATGGGGATCCAGAGGGGATAAAATCTTCACAGTAATGTTCATCCCATTACTGCCAGCTGTAGGATCCCATGGATTGGGGAACAATCCCTAATCTCCCCACAAGAAGCTAAACTGCTCTTTGGAAGAACTCGGAGGAGGTGGTGATTGTGAGCCTGGAAGTGCATCAGAGCCACACAAGACACTGAAGATCACAGTCCTTGGCTTCCATGTGCACACGGGAGGGCTTCTAAACCTGGAAGGAAAGGATAGGTGGAAAAAAGATTTGCATGTTGGACCATGTCTAAACAAATACCAGCAGTCCTGTCTGGGAATTTCCTCAAGGACAGTTACTCCAGCAGAGGTGTGCGTGGAGTCTGCAATGTCAGGAGAGTTCTAACCCTTCCACCAAGGGCTGGTCACACAAGTGAAACCTGCCTGTGTTTGGACTGGGGGTCCTCTGGCCAGCTCTTCATCACTGCTGCTGTTTTCTCAAGGGCAGAGAATATTTCTCAGGGCCTCAACTTCCTTCTAAGAGAGAGAACTAAAATTTTTCCACAAGAGGGAGAAGAAAATCTGCCTAAATTGATGCAAATAAATAGCTGAGGCTTGAAGCAGTGAAGCATTTTTACCTAAGAGTAGTTATGCTTCTATTTCAACTTCAGCCCTACCCCAGCTGGTGTGCAAGTAAACAGGTATCTGCTTTGCTCTGATACTTCTGTTCCATCACGTACAGAACACATTGTCTCTTGAATTACAGACTGTGTGGTTTGGAGGAAATACATCAATCATCTTGAGCTTGTCCTTCCCTTCCTTTTGTAGCCTGTTACCTGCAAAGGGATGTGGCAGCAAGTTTGGTGTGCAATGACAGGAGTAGAATTACCAAGGTCTTTTAGACTTTAATCACATTAAAGGTGAAAAAATATTAAATCTGCAAGTAAAAATAACTTTTTTATCCTTTCTGAGATCAGAATTAAGTGTGCCACAGTAGGAATAACAATTCTTATATTCCAATTCACCATAAAACCTCAGAAATACTAAACAATAACCTGGGGATTTGATGAAAAATCTCTTCTAGCAAGAGCAACAGGCATCTTTGCTTTCCAGTGAAGATCTGTACAGATGCAGAGAGAACTCATTCCCAGCGAACAGGATAACTTCAACAAGTGAGATTGCCTTGCTTTACCTTTACCTTCACCTTCACTTTATGTCTGCTTTTAAAAATGTGCAAAATGAGTCCTCCAGGTTTTGGGGTCATGGTTTCCACGTTCAGGCCAGCTTTTTTTTGCAAACTACACAGCCTATAATTGGCCCCATATTCCTGTAGTGCAGGGAAAATACGTGGCTAAAGAAGAGACTGCAGCTTTCAGTACAGTATTTAGTCTTTAAAAAGCACTTAAAGGAATGAGAAACGTTTTGAAGAAAAATTGTAAAGAATTTGGAGCCTTATTGCTTGTGAGTGTGTTGAGAACTTTTGCTAAAACATCTGTCCTTTGAGAGTGCTCTTTCTTCTGAAAAGGGCAACTGCCTCACTTCTGCTGATTGTATTTACAAAGGGCAAAGCGAGGTTTTGCCGTACCCTTAATGGACAGAGGCTAGTGGCAAATCTTGCTCTTTCATAAATCTCAGCATTCCTCGTGGTGTGTGCTGTCAGAATCGATTAGGAGTAAGTGGCTGTGCTGCAGAGCCGTGGGAGGGTGGTGTGGCTCCTGTGGTGCCACACGGAGCCGGGCACAGAGTCCCCCAGCACCGCGGGTGCTGCCTGGGGAGGCAGCCCCTGCTCCCTGCACTGGGGACAGCACAGGCTCCTCACACAGCCAGCGAGCAGGGAAACATGAGGGATGGCTGTTGGGGGCCAGAGCTGAGTCATCTGTAATATAATCATAAGGAAACACACATTTCTCCTGAGAGAAAATCAATAGAACTTTGCACTTTTCCTTGTAATATTTCCAGTCTGCGCCATCAGCTGCAGCTCGCTCACAGTTATACTGCCATAAATTCACTGCGAGTTAATGGATTTCCACAAAAATGAATGGATTTACAGCAGGGTAACAGAGCTAGTGCTGGAGCCGTGCACATGTAAAAATACATGGAACAAAAGCGGTTTGACAGCACACAGGTGACCTTCAAAGTGCCAAGACCGAGGGAGTAAAAACCAAAATTACCCAGTTTGTGGTGTGCTCCTTTCCCGGCAAAGTTCCTGAGGAAAATGGAGCCTGCGGTACTGAAAGCCTCGCTGTGCGTGGCAAGAGGGCCAGACCCACCGAAGAGAAGATGGGTGAGTGAGCAGCTTCACACTGTGATGGAGAGCGCAGAAAGACTGTCTGAACATGGCATTTGTCATTTCCTGCATAAAACATTTTGGAGCCTAGTCTCTCTTAGAATTAGTAAGTAAGTAAATAATGTGCTCCCAAACTTGAGTGTCAAAACTAGGTTGGTTAATGTATGAGCTGCCTCTGTTGCATTTGTTACTCTACAGCAAATTTCATGCTTAGCCAGAGGCTGGCAAAGTTCATTTATTCATTATCCCCAAACTTTGGGCAGTTATTATTCAAACTCCCCTAGTACATCTATTTAATAAGAAGAGAACAGAAAATTGATGGGATCAGAAATGTTAAAGTCTTAATTAATGCTTTTAGCAAAGACTGATTGGAGGGGGGTTGTTGTGAGAATATTAATGCGCAGCAAGCGTGTCTGGCTGGTGTCACTGGGCAGGGGGAGGGCTCTGGCAGCCCTGCCCAGGGAGCTGTGCCCCTGCAGCCCCCTGAGCTCTGCATCTGGGGGACACCACCTGCATCACCCCGGGGCTCTGCGCCTCCAGGTCAGGGAAAACCAGTGCTGCAAGCCTTGGGAGAGCGCTAAAATACCAACATAGGTGAATCACTGCTGCTAATGGGCTTAAATAGCAAAACATCCACTTAAAGCAGAGTAAAGATGGGGAATTCTTTCTTTACTGCTGTTTCTGGGCTTTTGTGGTGTTCCTGTGCAGTGCTGCAGGGCCTGTGCTGCAGTGGGGGCTGCTTGGCAAATGGGGGCTTTGCTGTGGGCACACGGGGACCAGGTTTGGGTTTTGTTCATGCAGGAGCAGCTACAATTATTCCACAGGAAAATGAACAGGAACAAGATGAAAGCTTGAAGAACCCCAGCAAGGCAGTCCCTAAGGTCCCCCTGCCTTTCCTGCCCCAGCACAGCAGCAGCTGCGTGTGACAGGGATGGGGAGGAGGGAGGAAGGGCAGGATGTGCGGTTTGTTGCTGAGTTTAGACCATGTTTATAAAACCCAGCAACCTCTGCTGAGTAGAGATGGATAATATTATAAATGAAGCCAGTCAGGGAAGATATGTGCCTCAGATCCATAAAAACGACAAACCAAAATTTAGCACTGAACAAGGTGGCTTTTTTTTAAGGTCCATGCTAATGCCAATGAGTGGATTGAAATCTCCTATTTCTCCTCTGATGACTGCCCGCCTCCTAATTACAGCAATTATGGACATTCCAAGTAAAACAGAGTTACATTAGGAGTTGAATCGAAGAGGACTGTGATGTAGAGTTAGTTAATGGATTTCCCTATTTGTTGTGTATAGATTTCCTTTCCTGTTATTATTGAACTGTTTCTTAAATCTCATATGGAAAATCATCTGTAGTGTAATAGAAACTAAATTACCAAGATCTTCATAAATAATTCTAAGTGTTTACAGTTCAGCTGAAAATTATACTTTTCTAACAGGAAATTTTTGGGATTTACTCTGGGGAAGATGGGAAAAGGGGTATTATTTTTTTTCTATTCCATGACAAGATCTTAAAAAAATTTTCATTCATCTCTGTGTTAGTATTGTCCTTGAAATATGAAGCAACTCTTTGGGAGTATTATACAGGATGAAAAACACAGATGACAAAGGAATGGGCTCTTATTTTTTTATTTTCTTCTAATTTTGCTTGGAAATCTGAAGTAATTGCTTTCTTTTAATAAACTAAAATAGGAATTCTTCATTACTAAGTATTTTTCAGGCTTTGAATTTACTCTGACAATCCACTGAGTATTATGGCTCATTTTGGGTTTTAGGCTGATCGACTTAGTACCTAG